GATCCAGCCTCCAACCCTCACACACAGTACACAAGCTTCCAGGTGGAACAAAACAGTGAATCCAGGTGGGACAAAAAGTACAAAGCCTACAGTCCAATAATCGTTGACAATGTTTATATGCAAACAGAATTTCCTATACTGTTGACTCCCCGAGAAGCAAGGCATCCGGGCCAGAGTCAAAATGACATTATAAAAGCCTGTTGTCCAATAAGCATTGATTTTTGTTCCTCTGAAACTGCATGAATTTGAATCTGCCATTAACTCGCATTAAAGCCCAGCTTCACTGGGGTTCTATAGGCTGAGCTTCCACTGGCTTCCACAAACACATTCGTGCAGGCTATACTGTCTATCAGACACAGCTCACATTATAAAAAAAGAAACAGCACCAGACTGCAGTGGTTTAGAGTAGACATTTCACACTCTGAATTCAATGAAAATACTAAATTGCAGTAAGTGAGGAGTAACCACATTGCTAACCATCTTAGTGCTGTTTTTGTGAGATTTAAAGGAAATGCTTTTTATGTAGCCTGAAAGAGTCCATGTCCTACTTTTTTCTTGCATATTATTTTTTCCCCTTAATTCCACTTGTAATGTTTGTGTGGTTTTATGTAACAATAACAGTAATAATTCAATGACCATTTTCTACCTCTATTAACCCCTTAAATGGCCAGGGCTAGCTCAACCAGTTTGCACTGAAGTCCCTGCAGTTACTGAATAATAAATAATAGTATGTACTTATTTATATTACGTACTTATTAATAATAATATCATGCCTGTGAGTTAAGGAGTTAAAATACCTTAGAATTAAACAGGCTATTTTTGTTACTGCACCTTTAAGATTTATTATACATACACACACACACACACACACACACACACACACTCCAAGCTGATTTACTGCATGTAATTGAATGTGCACCTGACTTTGTGTCCAAGAAAAGAAACAATCACCAGGAAAAGAAATGGTATAATAATGCAAGTAATAGAGAATAACTATTGCTTAAAATGTGTTTTGTCAGAAAATGAGGGTGATTTTGAAATAAAGCCTATAGAGAAATGGTCCATGCAGGATTTTTACCATTTGACCACTAGGGCTAGTGGAGACTGAACTACCCAAACTCTGCCCCCCATGGGGGCAATAGATGAAGGAATGAGAGATGGCAAAGGATTGTGGGAGGTGTGGTCTGTTACAGCTGGCTGGGCCCTGTGGAGCCTTTTCCATTCACTCGTTTATAAATATGTATTCCTTTATTTTTTTTAAGCAAGCCTCAATTGATTGTATTTTTCTTTTTTATTTATTTATTTTTTGAGACCCACCACAAGCATCCCAAGCTAGGCCTACCCAGACTTTAAAGCATGTGCAGCAGGGTTAAATACACAGGGAGGTAGTTTTCAGCAACGCTGAAGGCACCTCACAGACTAGCCAGCTTATTTTCACCTTAATTCGGTTGCAGCCCTCAAAGCATGGGGTGCATAAGGTACAGAGCGCAGAACGGACTCTTTTTTTGTTTTCTTTTTTTTTTTTTGACAGCTACCTGTGACAGCAATTACAGGGCCAGCTTCAAGGCCCGGCCGTTGTTTTTTGGCCGCCGCCATGACTCATTGGGCAGAGCGAGATTAGCTTTGTGTGTGTAATCAAGCACTCACAGCCGGGCTCTGGCATGGCCATTCACCAGCAGCCCACTTTGTTTACTGCCACAACTAGCGCAATTAGTTTAGAAGTGTCACAGACGGCAGTGAGCAGGGGCAGTGCGTGGTGAAGGTCCAGCGGGGCTGTGTTGTAATGCCTAATCCCTATTGACATATTTCTGGAGTCGGCGTGGAATGTGCGGCGCTTTGTTTCGTTTTAGCAGCAGCATTGATCTGTGGTCAACGTGCAGTTTCTCTGCCGCAGCTGTGGAGCCTACACAACAGGCAGAGTGAGCTGGACCTTTCAGAGACTTTCCTGGTCTTTCTGCTAGACTCTGCAGAGGGCAGCTAGAGCACAACAGGGCAGAAGTGTTTTGTGTTCTTTTTTTTTCTCTCAATATGTAAAATCCAACAGAAAAATTCAGACATTGAGAATTATGCTTAAATGATATATAGCTATTTTCACTTAGAAAATCAACTAAATATTTTTTTCAAGGATGTTGTGGTCAATATTGTCCTGTACTTTTCCAAATGATAAGGATATCTGTAAATATGCTTTTTGCTCTGTGTATGTGACACAATACAAGGCAAGGCAGCCAGTCAGGTCAGAGGTCATTTACACATATCAGTACTAATAGAAAGGAATAGTTGCCTGTTGAATTCTAAAAGATAACGAGAGGTCAGAAAATGGTCATCTAAAAATGAATAAAGTTTTTTTTTTTTTTTTGATAAGTAAACCCACACAAATGTTAGAAAAGAACAGTCTACAAAATACAAAACCAGTGTAGAATAAGCAAAGAAATAAGAAAAGAATAAAGCTCCTTTAAGTTGATCATTTTTTTCCCCTTATTCTATGAAAACAAAGAAACAGTAAAAATGGTGCAGTTATCTTTATCCTGTCCTGTGATACCAATACAGTGGTAGAACAAAACAAATGCACTGCTCTGATTGTTTCATCTTTACATTCTGCTATTGTAGGGCCCCACATCTTATTTTCAGTGCATTAACTCCACCTCATGCATCCATTGCCTAGGTTCATCATCGTACCGCCCCAGCCTTATGCATGCAAATGAGCTGTATGACCTTTACTTTTCCATTTCTGCACAGATATATGCAGAGCACTGTAAACTATGCCACAATCTCAACATTTACTGCATGACAGATACATCGCTTTGTGTTGATTTCTTTGTAAATATTCGCTGAGTCTTCTTCAGCTTGCATGCCCTTTTCATTTGCTGCTGTGGCATGACTGAAAGCCAGGCTATTGCGAACCTGGCTCAAAAGGATGAATGGGATTCTGTGCATGCTTTAATTTGTCAATTCTGCTTGAACTGTGTCTGGTCTTTATCGTCAGCAGGGTAACCTTTGTTCTTTTGAATTTCTTGCTTTGAATCTCAGTTTTAGGTTCAGAATTTGGTAGGATTTCTATATACATGCTTATTCAAGCCAAGCTTCTGATTGGTTTGAGGAATGAAAACAAAACTTTTGTTCATATCATCTTATCCACAATTTAACAAATAGCCAAGGTGGGGATGTAATGGAATACAAGTATTGAGAATGCATATTCAAAATACAGAAATGAAGTGTGTGTCTTTCAGTCCAACTTTTTGTAAAAGCGGTATCCAGAACATGCAGTTATCACACACACAAGTAATCTTGATGCTTGTTTATTCACTATTTTAAATCAGTGCACAGCATGTAAAAACTCTAAAGAAGAACAAAGGGCAGATAAATGATCTGCTAAAGCCTGATTAGACTGATAAATCAATGTGATGATCAGTTATTAATCTCACTGTTACTGAGCTCTGCTAAAGCCTGAGTAGACCGATAAATCAATGTGGTGTGCTGCTTATAAATCTCAGTGTTACTGAACTCTTTTGAGTGATGACTGAACTGAACAGCCTCCTCAGTAGTGGACATGTTCACAAGTGATAAGCATTTGTGTTGTACTGGACCTGTGAAAGCATCATACATGTTATTAACTGAAAGTCTTATATTCACATAGACAGAATCATGTAGGAAAGAGCAAAGCTTCATTTTTTTCTCTTGACTGTGTGAACTGATGTATTAGATATCTCGCTTGCTAGTTACCTTAGCTTAACACTAGTTATGCTAACACAAAATAATATAGTGTGCTTTGTTGCATTCTGTAAACTTACACAAATGCCTACAAATCACACAAAATCATGCGCTAAATCAAACAAAGCTCATATTTGTCTCTGTTGAGTGGGAAAATATTGGCAATTCTGTGGAGGCTAGTATAAATGCTAAGGAAATTAGCATTAATTTCTTTTTAACTACCTTATGTCACATTAGCAAAGTAAATAAAGTTCTAAAAGTAGCAATCGACACAAACGTACCATTCTAGCGTACGTTCTGGTGCACTTACTGATGATGTAATAGTGCTTGGTGGCTTTATCCTCAACTGGAAGAGTAATTACTGTAGGCTGTTAATTACTGTAGGCTTCAGCTGCTTCAGTGTTACCAAAGACAGATGAGAACAAGCTTGAGTACCATTAAATCTTGTTGATACATATCAATATCTTGAGCAAGTACCACTGAACCATAAACTAATATACCTAGAACCATTCCAGTCTTCTGGAAAGGTTCTAGCACCATGTGCAATGGAAAGGCACCCTTACTGATTCACAAAATTCTATAGCCTATATGTGTCAACATGTCATTATCAGTACAAACACAACCACTGGTTCTACTAACCTTCCACACCTAATATGTAAATCTAACAAGCCTTCATAAACACTATGTAAAAGGAGTAGAACGGCCATTTTTAATTTTGTTCTAACAAGGTTAGGAACATTATGTTTGGGTTGGAATGCAAGAATGGAAATGTAAAAATATTGTTTCTGCTCAGTTTTTGAGCTCTGCTTTGCTGTCACACCATATCTACAGTTAAACTAGTATCATCTTTCATTTCAAACCACATGTAACTGAACTTGCATAACATTTTGGTGAAGACGGCGTCCTCAAATAAACTCCAACATGCCCTGTTAACAACCCCGCGACATGCTAATAAAGCATGCGGAGCAAATGAAAACATTAAAAATTAACTAAAATGCTAGGCCTCTGCATGAGAAGCTGCTGTGGCTAGCTGTTTCATTTCTGCTGAGCCCAAAAAGCGCCTAAGCCCTGTTGTTCAATATGCTGTGAATAATTGAAGCAAGGACCCCCCCTCCCACACTTCAACCCCCCCCCCACTCCCATAAATGAATTTACAGGGTTTTTATAAGCCCTTGTGGAGAATTAGAGCTAAGTGTGCTGACTGTGTTGAGAGAATGAAGCAATCATTCCCACTTCATACAGCCAGCCTTATTATCTCTCTCTCACTTTGTTGTTCACTCTCTTTCTCTCAGGTGGACATGCTCATGCCAACCAAAATTACAGGCGTCATTACCCAGGGGGCAAAGGATTTTGGCCATGTGCAATTTGTGGGCTCCTACAAGGTCGCCTTCAGCAATGATGGAGAAAGATGGCACATATATCAGGACGAAAAACAGAAGAAAGATAAGGTAAGCTTACACCCATCGTACCTTTGCTGTAGAATAACAATACACTTTATTACTGCTACACTACACTTTAAGAGAAGGTCTTTAATCCTTCAGGGCTCGTTCAGAAATCTACCTATTTTTGCTGTTCAATCTGATCTTCTCCAGTAACCACTTTATTTTTCAACGCTGTTGTTGTAAAGAACGTGATCTAACAAAGCTAAAAATTTGAATATAAATTGTCTGACATCAGTTGCACTGTATTGCTACTCTGTTTAAACAAATCAAAAATAAGCTTTTACCAATCTATTGTGGTCTAATTGAGATTGCACACTCAGAAAAAAATCACCAACAATAAAAGAAGCCTTGTGCATCTTTTATACAGTGACAGGAAACACTGCAGCACTCAGAAAGCTCTTCTTATTCTGGCCAACATGGATCTGCATCTGCCATAACTCCTCTGATGGCAGATTTAAGTGAGTTTAAATTGAGGAACATTACCCAATTATCATAATGAGGTATCGTAAAGACACTCTGTTCCTTGGGGTTAAAAGGGAATAACAGAGTTAAAAAAAAAAATTCTACATAATTAAATTGCTGAGATGTTAACAAATGATTTGATGTGAAATTGATGTGCATTGATAGGAACAGGGGTTGTGATGCCTAGAACAAATATACCACTGAACCTACACAAAACATCTGAGTTTTTATAAGTAGTGCTGATAATGGTCAAATTTAGAACACTACATGTGATAGTTTACTATATATATATATATATTCTAGCAAGCATGCTTTAAACTAGACATTACAGTAGTTATACACATCTGATGGCAGATTTAAATGAGTTTAAAGGGACATTACCCAATTCTCTGAATCAGTTATCAGCAAGAAGTTCGGTTCCTTAGGGTTGAAAGGAAATTACAGATTTTTTTTTTTTTAATTTCTGCAAAATTAAATTGTTGAGATGTTAACATCTCATTGAGAGAGGTTTGATGTGAAATGGTGCACTGATAGGAACCAAGGGTTTTGATGCCTACAATACAAATACACCAGTGAACCTACACGTAACTGTTGAGTTTTCAAAAGTAGTATTGATAATGGTAAAATAGTGTTCAATCTGAAAAAAAAAAAAATGGATATAAAAATAAAATTAGGCCAAAACATTATCACAAAACTATTGTAAAACAAAGTCTATCAGCATATTCCTAGCCATTTCATGTTGCTTTCTAAGAGGTAGCTATTCAGACCCCTGGTTCCTATCACCACCACACTGAACAATTTTGAGTCTGAGCATTTCACCTTAAATCACTCTGAATAACTTTGTAACTACACTCTAGAGGTTGTGATGCCAATGCTCTACTACTTTCTGACAGCATTCAGACAATAAGAAGAATAAACAAAAAGACGGAATGAACCATTTTCACCTCTGCACAAAAGACGTAAATAATTAATGAAAAATGTAAAAAGCTAAGACAGTGAGAAAGAGGAGTGATCTTGAAGGGTTCAGAGTTTGTAGCAATGGAATAGCTACAGCATTAGCCGCATGACCAGAGACTGAACCTATACGTCAAGGTTCCACCTTGAAAGACATTGGAGTTTGAGCCTTTGAATCCAGTCAAAGTTTGTTCATCAGACTTTCAAAGATAAAAGTTTTTTCTCCTTCAGAACATTCGGGCAAACATTCGAAAAACGCCTAACAGGGTTTGGCATCTACAGTCGAGCAGGTAGCCTGAAGTGAATGACCCTTCCATGCCAAACACTATTTACCTAAAAGGCTGTAGAGTTCCCACTCTCCTGCCCCCTAATGCCAGCTTCTCTTATCTCAAGCCTCAGTGCACCTGGACAGGCCTGTGGACTCCTTCCTTGCTCTCTCTGACTTGCATTCAGATAAGAGTCCGGTCAGATATTTCTGAACGGCTTGCTGGAAATCTTGTTTATGACTCTCCAGTGAGCTCCACACGTCCGTTCCAGTGGCGCTTGCCAACCGTTTGAGGCCAGACCGAGACCTCCCACCAGTCCCCCAGCCCAGCACTGTTGTTTTTGAGCCTTTCTGGGCTCTGCGTGTGATGCCTTCTCTTTTCCTCTGTGATAAGAATGGAACTGCGGTTTGCGGCGGTGGGCCACCGATGTGGGGAGCACTGCTGGGAATGCTTGAGACTGTTTTTGTCAAATCTAAGACCAAAGCCTGTCGTGAAGTTTTCATTATTTGAGAAAGAAGCACTTCCAGACAAGTATGCCTCCAACTCACATATGCTGGCTGTCAAAGGTTTGGAGACACCATGCCTTCTTTTTCCAATTTAAATTTTCTAGCTGTTACTTTTCAGTTAAGTAAGAAATACTCTGACAGGGTTTGTCGACATAAAACAGCTGTTTACTAATGGACTGGTGTTTTGTCATTTACTACAACAAGACAATTAAAAATATATGAAAAAGATATATGGAGTGATATTGCTCAAAAGGTATAAAGAGAAGAACTGGAAGTGTTTCTCAGCATTATTATTACTACATAAAAAAGAAACCATAATTAATAAATAGATAAAAGTAGCGAAAAACTAATCCCAACAGGTCAAAACATTCACATAAACTCATGTGCAAAGTCTTAATTGAGGCAAAAAATTACAAATGCAAACAAATACAAACCACTAAGATAAAACTCAACATACATAGAGAGAGAAAAACAGAGAGATGCATGGCTGAATTGTCCTGAAGCAGTAGGACCTCAGATCAAAGTTTACATTTGTGGCAAAGAAATCTGTATATTTTACAGTAAACAACTGGCAGCAGAGTTCAGAGCCATTTACTTTAATTTTTTATAGGGATATTACAGTCATTCCTATATACGGAATAATGCTGTAATGACAACATACAATAGTCTACTGTGTATACCTGCTACTGAATGTACTGTATTTAACTTTATAGGCTGATAAATTTCAGCCATTTATAGCTTTTAAAAGCCAACAGCATTTGACCGATTAGCAAGCGCTCTTTAAACCAGACATTACAGTAGCTATACACATCTATGCCAGCTTTTAAGATTTCAAAGCTGGCAGTAACCCAGAGATTTAAAGGAACGTTACACCATGAGCTAAATAACTGAAGCACAAAACATGATCATGGTTGAAATAACAAAATGTCAAATGTATGTAAAATGCAAACTTTATTTGGGGTAAGAATAACATGTTAAAAGAATAAAACAAAAAGATGTGAAATTAACTGTAGAAATAAAGCAGATAAGGAAATAAAGAGGTAACTATTAGAATAAACAAAACCACAAGGTGTGCTGGGAGACTTCGACACCCATTGCAACAGTCTTCAGAGAGGCTACTTAAGACTGCGTAAATGAATCACTTTCCCAGTGTGCTTTGCAATTAACAGCTAATTGCAGATAATTACTGTAAAATCCAACATTTTAACCACTTTGGCAAGATGCTAGACATGCATCTTCAAGAGCGCACTTTATTATGTATTTGAGAAATGCAGTAGACTATTGCAGAATTTCTGCCATAAATTTACAAAATTTCTTTACAGTGCTTGATATGATGAGTTGGTTTTGCATAAATAGTGATTTCACAGTTCCCGTTTCCAAACTAGTAAACCATATGTTGAATCTCCTTTAGCTCCAATGTGGTTTAACCTCTTTCTGCAGGACATTTTTTAGTCACTGTAATCAAATTAAATATTTCTCCTCTGTGTGTGAGATTTTATGGTTCTGTGCTGAGCTGCTAGTGAGCAGTGATGGGTGAAAGGGAAGGGATGAGAACCCACTACTGCGAAAACATTTAACACCTCTCCACAAAGACAGCCATGCCAAGATAAAGCAGACAGCACAACTACAGCTTTCTTCAAATCAAACAATCTTGTACAGCTGGCTAAATAAAAACAATTAAGAGGTTTTAAGGTTAAAACACACACCTTTTAGAAATACTGACTTGCTTGCTCACGTACCAAGATGAAAATCAAGTCTGCTTCTAGTTTTATAAATCATATACATTTCCATTAATATATATTCCGTCAATATTAGTGAGTGTGTTTACATGCAATTAATAATCTGATCATAATCAGATTTCTCAGTTATCTGAGGACTTGAGTGTAAACAGCATTCTGATAATTTACAAAACTCCAATTTCTTAGATTCTTAGATATTAAGGCCTAGAAATATGATTAAGAAATCTGATAAAGAGAGCTGGATTGGTTTTTAGCCCATCTCTTACTCCTATTTCTTTTGTTTTTCTCAGTCAGTTCATGTGCAAAAACAGCAACAGCGTTTAACACAGAACCCGCAAGATGACAGCAAAATACTTTTGGAGCGACGCTAAAACCAACTACATGCCTGACGAAATTTTACATTACGTTTACATCTTCTGTGCGTTTATTGGTTGGTTGCAAAGCAGAAATCCGATTACTACCTGATCCATGTAGACCCAGAGTTTTCCCATTATCTAAATACCCAGGTGCATGACAATGTGTTGAACAGATGGAATCTGGTTTTCAATGGTTATCAGATTTTTAAATGCATGTAAACACACTCAGTGTTATTGAAGAAAAAATGCATAGTGCAAAAACTGTAGAACCTCCTCCAAAACAGGCAGAAATAGGATTTTATGGCTACTATTTCAACTACAGCTAAAAGGTGATGCTCAAGTGCTTATCAATGCTTATATCACAATAAGCAGATGAAATCTGTAAAGTTTTGCATGATTTCCAATGTAGCACTGTCACTGTATGTTATATTGTCACAAATATTTACTAACGTGATCTAAATTTAACTGGTTAGTCTTTAACATATGAAGTTATTGTAAACCCTAAATTAATATAACATTATCACTGGTATTAAAAGAAGTTTGGAAAGCTACAAACTATTGACAGGCAGTGTGTAGTTGCTGGACTGTGACCAGTATGGATTGCATTAAGACAGGCTGCTTATCCTTAGGAATCCACAGGATTCAGTTTTGGCCCTTGAAGACAGAAATAGTACATAACAGAAGACTTGTATGAAACATAACTCCCTGCACTGGATATTCACC